TGATTGTTTCCCCTTCATTAGATACAAAGAAACGACTAATCAGCAATCTGTTGGGGATGTTTTAATTCATATTCTTGAATGAGCAGTATTTTGGGCTTGAGAGTCTAAATAGTCGCCTCTGTGATTCTAAGTTTGACCACAAAAGAGGACAACACCCTGCTGCCATATAGGCTACTTCCATGAGTTAATCTATATTCATCTAGGTGCCCTAACCCTTACTCCAAGGTTAACATCATACCAGCAATTAAGTAAACAATACCCCAATCAAGGAACTGCCAAACAAGCCAAGAGTAAACAGCCCAACCAAAGAATCTTTAAGATTGTTCCTCCCCACCAACACAGACAGGGCAAGCCACTAAAATATAAACTGAGAGCAAATCCCATTGTTTACTAGCACTGATTATGTCACCTGGTTTGGGTAACGAAACTTTCGCAAGAAAACAGCCAAGATCAGAGAGAAACAAGGACTTCTCATTTCACCCTGAGCTACAAATATTCTCCTTTATTGGTACATCTACTAATACTTTTATTCTATTCATTAAAATAAAGAAAAGTCCTTATTTTAAAGGATGTCTATTCGCCTGAATCTATAATCTATAAAATTGAGGATTTGTTGTGATGAAAGTCTGGCTACTTTTTAAAAAAATCCTCCAAATCAGATGGGTTGCTTCATTTTTTTTCCTAAGTGTTTGGTCATGTATGTGCTTCCTATCATAAGGAAAAAGGGAAAATATTAGTATGCAGCATAGGGGTTAGAATTACAATCATGCTCTGCTCATTAGTTCTGTTCCCCACATATTTCTATATACATCGTTTCAATCTTCTATATGAAATTTAATCAAAAGGATCAGACTTATAAGAACTAAAAGTGAGCAAGAAGAGGTAGCATTCTTTGGAATATCCCAAAATAGATAAACCTTCAGGGATTCTATTTGTTAATTTCCAATGTCTCCTATCATGTCTCCTACTTGCGATTGCTGCTTATTTGTTTCCATATTCAAATATATGGGGACTTAAGTGGGGAGATGTAGGATTAGTTAGAAGTAGTAAAGCTATAGTATCAATGAACAGACAGCTGTGATAGTAGAAAACAGAATGGTCCTTTAGAAAGGAAGGGTAGTAAGAACATTTTACTTGAGGGCTCTTTGAAATCTGGAATTAATATTGAGAATAATCATTTTCTGTGCCATAAAAATACTTTCACAAATAGTGCTTTTGTAACAAGATATCTAGCCATCAATAATAAAAACTAGAAAATCTGTATTTTCTTAAATACATTTCATGGTAGAAAAAAAAAAGATTGAAATTGTTCCTATAGCATTTCTCTTAAATCTGCACATAAAAAAGATTGCATGAATGAATTTACATAGTAAAGGGCACAAGTTGTAGTTTCAATGCTGCCCTTTCATATAGTGTACTTATATATTTTGCTTTGTTCTCTAATATATTATGAAATATGTCCTCTCCTTTAACATATAATTACTGAAAAATTCAAAAGGTGAAAGGGTAGCATTGAAAATTAAGGACCTTTTGATCTTTTCCATCCATTAGTCTTCCACAAAATTTAAAAAAAAAAGAATATTTCAAAAATGTATGCAAATTGCGATATAGAATCATCTGATCTTATTAGAACATCCATGGACAAACTACTTATAGTCTCACATTTCCAAAAGGGTTGGGAACTGAAGGTAGAAGTCAATGCTTTTATACAAAAACACTAGTGCTTTGGAACAGCCTCATGATGTAGTCCTCTTCTTGCTGGTTTTTAGTAAAATGTTAAGGATCAAACTATTTTGTAGAGTACTTTCTTAAGTTTATATATAAACCTTTACTCTTTTTGCCTATTTGTGCTCCCCTTATTTATTGTTTATAAATAAATGTTTATTTTTATATAAATTAAAAATTTATACATATTTTTCTTTACACTTCTTTTTTTGCATCTTTTTTGGGATTTTAATCAGAGCATGGACGTTTAATATTCGTTAACATTCGTTTTATATTCTATGTATACCACCGACAGTAATTTTGACTATAGCAGTAAAGAAATTGGTAAATTTAGGCAGCATATCTGCTCAGAAATATTATGTTATTTCATTGTCATCATTTAACAAGAATCTGACCAGTGGTAAACTTTGATTATGCAACAACCTGAAAAGGAAGTGAATTTCCTCCCCAATATATTCCATGCAGAAATTAGTACATAGCTATTTAATCTTCTTTGCCTGTTTTACAATAATGGCATTCCTTGCATTCCAAACTTAAGGCTTAATCAACTCAAATTTGCCACTATAGTGCTGTATTGTTTAGTTTGATACTGATGTGGTAAATTGTTTCTATTCTGGATTTAAGCCAGAAAAGGGATTTCATTCTCTAGATTTTTTCCATGTTTTGAATACGTAGTTATAATCCAAATGATGCTATTGAGTTTCATTTATATTAGAGAGCTTGAAATACAACAGTCCACACTGGGATCATATTACTGACAACTGAAGCATGCGGTTGACCAAAACATATTCTTTCTCTACTTTTATGTATGGAGGAAACAAAATGTGATCACCTTGCAAAGCCCTATATTTATAAAGGAACCTTCTTAAAAACATTGCTTGAAAAGTCTGATTCAAGTACATTTAAGTAACAATAGCAGTTGTCCATTAAAGTGCAGCAAAAAAATATAACTTAGATATGCAGGACAGAAAAAACTTCTGGTAATAGTTTCTAGGTGTTCTAGAAAGATTTAGCTTTCCATCACCACATTTTATATATTTGATTACAATTTGGCATTTTTAACCTACAAGTAGAGCAGGGCTGCCAAACTCCTGCCCCTTGGGCCGGATGCATCATGCACTGGCCACGCCCACACCCTGTTTAGCGAAGGGGAAAAAAGTCCCGATACGTCATGTGATGACGACGTGACGATGCGAGTTTGACACCCCTGCACTAGAGTGATCACAAATGTATTTGTTTTTTATGCCTATTAATCAACTCCTTAGAGTTGATTGTCCTCTTTAATTTTCAATCTGTTTCTACAACCTTTGGCTTTTTAAAATTAGATAATAACAGGATATTATCAATGTGCTGTTGTAGTGGGCACTAAATACATGCTTTCGATACAAGATATTTTGAGGATTTTGATATTTAATATCTTTACCAAGTTGTCCAATGTGGTTTATACCCAAGGCATACTATTATTTGGAAAAACGTCTAATGCTTCCTCTAAGATTAAAAAAAAATCAACAAATCAGCATCAAAAGTTGGATTTTACAATTTGCCTGAACTGTATAAAATGCTTGGAATGAATTTCCTTCTGTATCTTAAAATACGTTGAATTATACCTAAATACATAGATATGATTGTATTGGATATAAAAGTTAAAATTACCTTTGAGCCTCTGAAGTAAGATTAATGTAATCAAATTGTATATAGCATTTAGAGTGATATACACCTTCAGAGGACTATTTATGTTAATTTCATTTAGATATTTAATATATAGCGATAAACTATTGAGAAAAAGTTTATAACAGACAAGGCCTTTCAATTTATTTTGGCTAAATTTGCCTTATGATGATGGTGGCTAATTTAGGTTTATCAATGGGCTTTTATTATGGAATGAAGCATATTGCTTCCTTTGGGCTCATTTAAAAAGCCAATGTGTGATTCCTTTCAAGTTCTGGAAAGTTTATCGATCAGATTTCAGAAGAAAAGTCTGATTCTCCGAGCTTGGGAAGTTACTAAATATATTTAGATATTAATTGGGATACAGTTAATCTTTGACCCACATTCACATGAGATAATGACATTATGGAATAATCCTAATTTGAAGACAGAGGAAGTAAAAATGTTTTATTTGGAAGTCTTGAGCCAAGAAAAGGATTAATACCTTGAATTAATTATTTAGTAAGATCTATTTTAAGAATCTTGAAACATTACATTTTAAATATAATCTCTTTGAACCATTGCTTGGCACTATATATAATTGAAACATATACTACCAAAACAATATGGTCCAGATGTTTTAGCAGATTCAGAAGCACCATAATATTTGGATGTTAAAAATACTGTATCAGAAGTAAAATAAAAAATCAAATTCCATACAAAACTAAAAATATGACACAGACGAATATTGGAAAAATATATGATTTGGGTATAAGAAATCAGAGTATACAGTCTTGAAAAATTTATGGGGCCAATTTTTCAGAAGTACTAAACACAGTTTTAATGGCCTAGGAATGAAGTTAATTCATCATAAAAATCTTGATCTGAATCAAAACTTGACATCCCCAAAACCATTTTTTTAAAAAATGTGCAACACTAAAGAAAATTTGGGGGCATTCTGACTCATACAATCTGGTCCTGTTTGTTCCGTCTCTTCTTTGGTTTCAAGGCATCATATAAGCTAATACAACTTTGAGGGAAAATATAATATAGCTCAGTAAAGGAATAAATATTTTCAGCTTATTAATGCTGAGAAATTTCAAATTCTATTTATCAAAAAGTAAATGATTTCATTCAATAATAAATTCAGTTTACCACAAGAGTTTAAGATGGCTGTCCTTTACACTTGTATTTCAAAACTCCAAAAAATATTTTTAGCATGTCCATTCCAAATTCTGTGCAGCACATAATGACTTTGTTCAGTTTCATATGTTACAAATTTGCTTAATTATTCACAGTGCCCCATAGTACAGGAACTTCCAGCAGAACATGGCATTCATATATTAGAATATATTGGCCAGGCTAGCTATATCTAGTTAGAGAAAGTTTTGTTTTTTTTTTAAATAGACCCAGAGTTCTATCGTTATGGAGTTTTTAAAACAAACCTACGTCCCATTCACAAGTGCCTGAAGTTATTTTCTCTATGGAGTGGTTGGTAATGGTAATACTTTTCTGTGTGTTGAAAAAATTGATACATAAAGTGTGATCTCAATTAATAAACACTTTCTAGATGAATAATTACTTGACTGCAAATGAGATACAAACTATGTTTGTGTAAAACAACTCACCAAATCAGCTGCCACGGAAAATATTTTCTACATCCACCAGCAAAACATAGTCATAGATGGTCAGTCAAGTGGGAAGCAATCATATCTGATCAATTCCCAGCCATTGCCAACAGGGCCAAGATGCTGTTATTTCTGAGAGATTTTAAAAAAACTTTTGCCTAAAATGTAAAAAACAACAACAACAATTTAGTGCTTCAACTACGAATATCACAAGTACAGATGCTGTGGAACTGGTAGAGCTTTGCCAGCTCCCTGTTCCTTTCTTCTCCTGTTTTATATCCCTTAACTAATATGTAGATCAATTGGTGACAGCTATAAATAATAGTTGTGCACTTTTTTTAACAGAGTTGAACAGAGCTTTTTAAAATTTTTCTTAACTTGCTGAGTGGCAACATTTGTGGCACACTGTTCAGGAAGGGAGACAAATTTAAATATAAAGTAAGAAAGAGCAATACTGAACATGTTATACTTATATAATTATAATTGTAGATATTGTATTCTGGGGCATCCTTAACATATATTTAGACTGCAAGTCAAAATGGGTATTTATATTTCTCTTGTTCATTTAAAAATTAATGAACTGATAGTTCATTAATGAACCATCATTAATAAGATGGTTATACTCTTATTGCTGAATTGCATAAGATTTTATGTGATCACTTGACATAATGTAAAACTACTATACAAAAATATGAAAATAAATCAGAAGCAAGTCCTGTAATAGTAATTCAACTCAACAATATGAAAACACGAGGATACCTGTGATAGCATCCAACACATCCAAATACTTTCTTTATACTTAAGCATCTCAATTGTGCTCTTATCTTTCTGGCAGATTTTAGTTTTTTCTCATTAAACACTCAATTATAAGCACTGCATAAGACATAACTCTTGTCGTTGAAAATTTTGCCCCTTCAGGAAGATTTCATATTTCAAGTACTATATTTATAAATTTAAGATACAGTTACAAATTATTTGCTTGATATTTTCCATTGGCATTTTCAATAAAATGTTTTAAATACTAAAAAAGTCAGTATTTTAAGACATATAAGGATCAGTCAAAAATAAATAAGTCTTTCATGGACATGAAAATTATAGAAAGCCAAGCTAATCCATTTGAATCCAAGTATACTAAAGTGTTGGACCTGCAATACAGAAAGCTCTCAGGCCCAGTTACAAATCTTCACTTTTCCTATGAAATTATTAGGCATATTACAGATAGTCCTTGACATACAACCATTCATTTAGTGACCATTCAAAGTTATAATGGCACTGAAAAAAGTGACATGGTAATTTTTCAGACTTACAACCTTTGTCACATGATCCCCTTTGTCAGCATCCCCATTGTCACATGATCAAAAATCAGATGCTTGACAACTGGTTCATATTTATGACAGTTACAGAGTCTCTGACCCATGTGATTACCTTTTGCTATCTTCCGGTAAGCAAAATTAATGGGGAAGCCAGATTTACTTAATAGCCATGTTGCAACTTAACAACTGCACTGATTCACTTAACAACTGTGGCAAGAAAGGTCAGGAAATGGGGCAAAACTCATTTAACTATCTAAATTAAGGTAAAGGTAAAGGTTCCCTCGCACATATGTGCTAGTCGTTCCCGACTCTAGGGGGCGGTGATCATTTCTGTTTCAAAACCGAAGAGCCAGCGCTGTCCGAAGTCATGACCATGTCTCCATGGTCATGACTAAACACCAAAGGCTCACAGAACACTGTTACCTTGCCACCAAAGGTGGTCCCTATTTTTCTACTTGCATTTTTTACATGCTTTCGTACTGCTAAGTTGGCAGAAGCTGGGACAAGTAACGGGAGCTCACCCCATTATGTGGCACTAGGGATTCGAACTGCTGAACTGCCGACCTTTCGATCGACAAGCTCAGAGTCTTAGCCACTGAGCCACCGTGTCCCTCATAAATTAAAAAAATAAAATAAAAATAAATTAGGAACATACATTTTTGGCTTAATTGTGGTTGTATATTGAGGACTACTTGTATTCTATTGGCCTCAGTCCCCAATTACTCCGCAATCGTTTCTGACTCCCTCAAGCATGGCTGTTGTTATATGGAGAGAAATGAAGGATATTCTTTTTCACTAAGATCATTAATTTATCTAGCCTTGTATTATTGATAGTAATTGACAGCAGTCCTATAGTTTTAGGCAGGACTTTTTCCCACCCTTAGATTGGGACTTACCCCAAGCAACTTACTGAAGCCCAGCTCTTAAGATACTACAACCTGATAATGCAGGTAAAATACTTTGAACAAATGCAAAATTTGTAGTCTACTTAAACTTTTGAGCCAAAATTTTTGCTTGGATTTTTATAGTTGAACAATAGATAAATACAAGGGACTGGCCACCATATTAATTTAATAAAAGTTCATCTTCCATAATATATGCAGTTCTATCAGAATATGACAGCTTGGCTTTCAGTTGCACGCTAACAGAAAAAGAAATAAATGCTATTGCAAATATTCTTGTGTGTTTCCATAAGATCTTAATGTTTCTTCTGAAATTGAAAGCATGCATTAAACCAACTTTCCTCAGTGTGAATTCATTTAGATCAATTAAAACTTCCACTTTTATGTTAACACAATAATAGTGGAACATTTGAAATATATTTCTTGAGGTCTAAACAGTAAGAAACTAATTCATTCAATTACAGTAATAGCCTTAAGCCATGTATTAATAACCACTTATTATTTAATATTGAAGGAGTGGCTTAAGGTAATTAGATACATGTTCAAGAGTCTTAATTTAATTAACTACACCACCAATATTTCCTCAAGTAGCTTTGGCTTTTTTTTTTAGCATTGTTTAACTGGAAGCTTTTCATTTGAAGAGCTAAAACCAATTGTGTATCCTAGTCAGGTCATATAGTATTCCACAGCATCCTAAGATTACAAAGTGCATGGAAAGTTTGGCCTAACCAGAATAAATCAATTTCTTAAAATAAAATTAAGAAAGCACCAACTTTGGCCACCCAAGATGAGGATGCCTTAAAACAGCCTTTCCCAAAGCTGGTGCCTTCCAGATGTTTTCTCATACGCCCAATGACCATTGCAAGTTTGTGTCCATTCTCTAACCATATACTTTTTCTCCATCCACAACACGAATAAAATATAGCAATACGCAAAGTTGTTTAGTGTGATTTCATAGGGTAACAGAATACGTTAACACCAAATGAAAGTTACTTCCCAATATTCCCTAGGAAACTTATTTTGCTTACCTCGCCTGTAGTTTGAAACAAACAAAACATCAAGCTGCACTCTGCAGTGTGCAATCAACTGTTGGAATAAGAAAATTGCCAGTAAATAAGAGTTTTAAGAATTATTTTTAAAAAAAAAATAATCAAAGCACCAACAATCTCATACAAAGATGTACGAAAGAGATATGTATGATTTGCCAGATGGGAATAGGCCTTTTTCATTACAGGATATTAGAAGGGGGTGGGTTGAAACTCTTCTATCTCAAGTGCCTAAAAATATGATAAAATGGTAGAACTGCATATGCATACTGTACATATATAGAGCATATGTTGGCCAGAAGTCCACCCATATGAAGGAAAGTAATTGGCAATTACTGGAGTAGCACAGCAACACTGGCCTATGCAGCTATTCCCAACATAATTCATAGCCCATAAGTAATTGTGTTAAGAGATACAAACAAGTTTAAAATGCCTTTACAGATCAAAAAATTCTCAACATAAAATAAAGTAGATAAATACAAGGGACTACAATACAATATAATCAGCCTCTGCAGCTTTTCCAAAATTTAAATATGGTAACAAATTCCACTATCTTTATACTAATATCAAACCCACTACTCTAATATCTCCTCAGCATCTCTAAACATCCTGAAATAAATAGCAAAATATCAAATATTGACTATGCTGCATAGAAAGGTTCATACTGGAGAAGGCAACCTTCCAGATAATCTGGACATTTTGAGCTTGACACATAACCAACATTGTTTTTGTGCTAAAACAAATGAAATGTATTAGTATAATATGCTGTAAGAAATGAATACAAAACCACTGTAGCCACTGCAGTACACAGGCTGGAATTTCTGGAAACTCTCATAGAACAGTGCATTACAGTACTCCAATCTATATGTGAACAGGATAGCAGTTAAGCTTTCATGAAAAATGGCTAGCAGGCACACATCAAAATTCCTAAACCAAGCCAGATTCTCTATGGATTAGCTCCTGTACCTAAATAATGATTCAGGACTTTCATAGTTGATTTGGCCTTTACAAGAACCAAAGAGAAAAGGTTAGGCATTTGCTGCATATAACAAACTCCAAATTGTCCATAGGTCCTGTCAGACATTAAACAACATAATGAACAAGCAGATCCTTTAAAATTAAAGGAATTTCTTCCACTAAGATTAAGTATATATTCCAAATAATCATGTATTTTATACATTAAAAATGAACACTTTTAGACATTTCAGCATTGTAATACCACAGTTCATCTCTTCTCAAAAAAGAAATTGTTCTTATTATTGATTCACTATTATTTTAATTAAGTCTACCTTATTCACGTTTTCAAATTTCAATTGCATAGACTATTTGTGGGAAGGAAGGCAATTCTCATCACTTAGACTGATTATTTGCTTAATATGTTTCAATGAATTATTATTTCAAAGTTGCATGTTATAGTAACTTAGTGAGGGACATAAGAACAAAAAATGTTGAGTGTGGGGTAGTTGAAAGGTGAGTTAAAAATCAGCCAATAAGTACTGCCTTTTCAAGTTTTAAGGGTGGCAAAGAAAGTCATCATATTATAACCAGGTTTCCCCCCCCCCATTTTACAGGTACTTTCTAGCCACTGTAATAACTGATCTACCATATGAGCATCTATTTATGCAAGAAACCAACCAGATACATAGAGATGATGTGATCTGATCATACAGCAGGTATAACATAATTTGAAATATAAATTGGGAGAGGTTTCCCCACAAAATGAATAACAACGATAGAAGAGGCATTTTCTTCTGAAGAGCAAGAGAAAAGAATAAATTCCCTCCACCTGTCTTGTTAATTACCTGTTAATTACCACATTTCTCAAGGTGGACCTTTTGCATTTTTTTCTTTGCTATATGCCTACTTTGTCCCTCTTTATTACAGGAAAGTGGGTCTCAATTTGAAAGCCACCTCAATTCCATGTCACAAAAAACAGAGCTCTATCTCAATACCTCTGTTTTAGCCAGCCAGTTCATTTTAACCAAAATGTTTTTCCCATGCTGGATACCTCTTTGAAGAGCTGCTTCATCAAAGTTTTAACAGAAGCAGAAGCACCTTTTCAAATCTTCACATAGACTAATTAATGAATCCAGAGCTGTATGATTTTATCTTGGCAATTGCTTTCCATAATAATTGGAATGGAGAATTTACATTTATAATGAATTTGGGACTGAGTAATCTTCAATACCCTGGGCAACAGAAAAAGGTGTCACAGTATCAAGAAAACTTGAACCTTTTTGTAGCATTTCTCTTGTTTTGCTTTTTAATTTTTACATTAAATGTGCTGAATTCAATTCTGTTATTGTAAAAAAGATTTGAAGATCTCAGAAGAATCCAAACTTTATTTTTCTTTGCTCAAGTTTATATTTGGGGCAATATTACTGCCCTTTATATGACCCTGTAATCCCTGATTATTAACTGGGATATTAACTGAAGAAAAGAAATGGTTAATAGTTTGCTTGTTTGTTTCTTTAAAACACATCCCTTTAGGATTAAAAAAAAGTATTTGTTAATGTGAAATACCTATTTTTGTAGTTATTGTTTAAGATATTAGACTTGCACCTGTAGACTTTCTTCTTTAGGAATAATGCATAATTATTAATAACACATAAAAATAATTTCATGTATTAGGATTCTATATTTCCTCACACAAAATAAGAAAAGACCATGTCAAGTCCAACCTCCCTGCTATTTTCAGACATCTAAATTAAAGATTCTTGAAGGTTGTCAGCATTTGCTTGAAAGTATCTCCAATGAATGACAGCTTATCACATCAACTATCTTCTTTGGTAAATGGTAAAACTACTGTTGAACTACTTTTACTGTTAAGAAGCACTTATAAATCAGTGATTTCTTGTTAGTAGGCAGGGTATTGTAAAAGAGGTTACTGTTGAGATATGAAGTATTAATGTTTTTACCAATCAAAAACAGTTTCTCAACACAATCAATTTATAATGCTGGGTTGTGAAGTTTTGAACTGATTTTGTAATTAAAGGGGAGGAAGGAAAATGCAGGTGACTGCTTAACATCAGTAAGCTTATTAAAAATCATGCTTAAAAGGAATAGGCCAGATATTGGATCCAAATCTCAAAACATTGCATTCATGCGGGTTTAAGCTTAAAATCAATTTCAACTTTTAAAGTATAACATTAGTGAAATGTTCTGCCCATATATTAACGTGTTTATGTGAGAGAGAAAGATAGCATAAATGCTTGAAAATTCTAAATGTTGCTGTTCTACTATAGGTGGAAAAAGCTGTAGATTATTGCTGTTATATTTTCTTCCATTGCAACAAGAGGATTAAACAGCACATTATAAACAAAGGTCAGCAAATGCAGGTATTTTGACCTACCTTGAATACCAACACTATCCTATCTTCTTGGATTCCTTTAACCTGCTTATAGCATTTTGACTAAACATCAGAGATGATGACATTGCTTCTACTATAGTCAGAGAACAAAGCCAGCTCTTAAAGCATAGTATGCAGTAAATCCAAGGATAAATCCTTGGGTATCAAGAAATCATCCTTTTATTTTCCAAACCATGAGAAATCAGAACAAATAATCCAGTTTAATATGTAATAATATAACAGGATCCAGTATCATACAAGCAGGCTTGCATGAGCATGATGGATTTTTAATCTGCCTAACACTTCACATTGTCAAAATCTATTCTAGAAAGATGAAAGAACATCTGCAGATTTTGAGAGTGGATGGGAGCTGAAATCAACTTGCCTAGTTTCACTAGCAAAAGCACATAACTGGACAACAACCAATACATCCATTTACCACCCAGTAATAACATAAGAAAGCAAAATATGATCTGCTTAGACAACTATTTGATTGTGACTATGCAAGTTTCAAAACATTGATAATAATGTCTTTAAAATCCTTTTTAATAGAAGACTTAGAACAGTATTTGAAAAAGATTCAAAAACCATGATTCCCATGGTTGACTAACTTCCTTTGAGAGCTTTGGTTTATAATACCTTCCATATTTGAAAATACTAAGCCACTACATTTCAATGTATTTCATGATCTCTTTTCATTGAATCCTGCTCTGAGTGAAAACCATAATTTGATATAATTATTCTCCCAATATTTGCTGCTATTTCAAAGGAGTCAGTAATTTCTTTTCAAGTTCTCTGGGACAGACACTTGGCAAGATGAGATGATATGTCTGCATCACTGGCTCTGCACATTTTAAAAATGTTTTTAAAAGTAAATATACTTGTATAGATTATTCAGCAAGAATTAATAGGCTAATAGAAAGCTCAAATCACAAAAGTATCAAGCAACATATGATGAGTAGAGCAGTCTCATCTACCTTGACAATGAAGTGCCAAAAGAAAAAATATCCTGCCAAGTAATAAACTAATGCACAATTAAATGAACATACATCAAAGTACCTTGTTCCTCAAAGAAGTTACTGCATTTGCCATTTGCCTGACATTAAGGTGGGAGAGGGAGGGGAGGAGAAATGAGCTGGGTTAAAGCAACTACTACTATTTGGTTCAATTAAATTATATTTCTGAATCTAATCACAAGTGGGTGGGTGTGCTAGACTATAAATCCTAAACAAGCATATAAAAAGCATATCAAAGCTTGTTTTACTTCAGTTCAACTTTTCCCAGACGTGCCTGTGATCACTCCATTATTCATATCCCATCATTCCTCAGCCCAAGAAATTTGTCTTCAGAGCACCAGTGTCAGCTATTTCTATTTAGTGTTGAGGAGGAAAGAAAACCTCATAAAGTCTGGAGAACTTTTACTTTTCATAGCCAGATGGCTATGATTTGATTAAGTATAAAGCTTCCTATTAACCTAGGGGAAACAAGCAGCTCAGTAGTCATGCCAATAGTTTGGCATCTCCAGATAGAAGTAGGAAAAAATCCTGTCTAAACCATGCCAATACTGAGTCTGTGCTAAGCCTCCAATGTACTATGCCATGGTTTACTAAGCAAACCACTATTGGTCAGGATCACACCACAGTTCAAGCAACATGTTTAGCCACAAACTACATTTTGTCTGAGCAGGTTATGTAAACCCAGCCAGTATAAGGCAATTTCCTGTATTCTTAACTCATCTACCGTAAAACCATTTAATAAGTTTAGCAGTGTTTTGACACTTTTCTTGTCCAAATTTGGAGATTAGCCATTCAGCATAAAAGCTTTTGACTCATCTGGTATATTCGACTTTTCATTTTAAAAAGGATCATGCTTCAAAACTGAGAAAAATAAATTGAAATTGAAAGATCTTTTTGCATACTGGCAGCTTTGCCAGCCACAAGTGGTTTTCCCTAGCATTTGAGAATATTTTTCCTTATTCTTCAAATAATGTAGTATTGTAGCATCCTTTAGGCTCTCTAAATAGTTTTACAGCTGTTAAGTTACTAATGGGAACTTCATGTGTTTGTGCCCAGCATAAGTGCTGTCAGGAAGGAACCAAATGTCAACCAGAGGTATGCAGCAGTAGCCATAAATATTCCTTTGAACATTTACCATCTGGAACCCTAGATTACAGCTTGACAAAGAGCTGGACTAGCTTAAGGGCATTTTCCCTCCCCCTCTTTTAAAGAAGTCCCATCAGGTCAGTGATGTAAAAACATGGTTTCACATTCAATTTCTTCTACCGTGTCTTGTCAAACAGAAATACAGCACCCAAGTTTTTTGGAATTTGCAAAGAATATTATAAGGTTGCAATGATTGATACATTTAGCATCAGATGAAATTCCATCACTTATACTGCTTAGATTTGCATTCTCTGTTATGCCATGGTGGATTTTTCTAAGTTTGAACTTTATGCATTGTGCCAACCTTGCTACCACATGCTGAACTGTAAGGTGTGGGTTTTGGCTTAAGTTTTGTTTGCACAATGTGCTAGCCTTTAGTTAACTATGACTGATGAATTAACAGCAGAAGACAGTGACTCATAACTAGCCACATTGATCAACAAGGCAGTCATGTTTTAGCCTTGTGTTTTGTGTAACCCAACCAAACACTTTTTTAAAAACAGAATGTTTTTTGCCAGACCACTTTTCAACAGAATGTTAAAAAAAAAAAAAAAAGAACACGCCTTAGCACATGTAGTAAGAGACTTACCTTTGAAATATATGACACAAGACACAAGAAAAAACTTCAGTTGTCCGGAATACACCTAGAAAGAAAGTTACACTGCATCAGTGCACAAATGTCAGGCTGGTAATCTTACCATTCCTGCCCTTGTTTTAACAGTGTGGTATTCAAATTCTAAATTTTCCACCAAATTTAGGCTGTTTGGAAATAACTTACTATGTTTCTGTATATCTCTCATTGATGCATGGATGCCATACATTTACAAGTTGTCTTCTTGTCAGTGTTAGTATCTAGGAAAGTTTACATCACATCTTTGACTGGAGTGGAAAACTACTTCATTTTAGTCATTTAACTCAAATAATTAGCAGTTTCTCATACAAACACAAACACATACTTCTGGAGGAGTTGTTTTTAAGGATATTTTCTTCCAATGGCATGCATCAAAAATGAAAGCCAACAAATATATTTGGAAGGGGAGGCTGATATATCAAGTTTCACCTTCAAGCTGCTGTACGGATTCTTTGATGTTTGGTCAAATGCCAGAATCACAGAACATTCAACAGACCCATATCCCATAATCTAGCTGACTAAATAATTTTTCAGAAAGTACACAATCTTTAACATCTCATGCACAGGAAATTCAAGTTACAAAGGCAGAGAGAGATGTTGGGCTTTCTTCTGTACTCATGGTAAAATGCAAGAATTGTATACATTTATCTTTTGGGGGAATTATCATTTAGCAACACATTAATAGGTACATTAGCTTTTGTATTCTCTACATGAATACCTATCCTAATTCTAACCTGTCCAATTAGCATCACTGAGAATTCTACTTAAGCTCCCTTCACCTCTTCCCTCCTCTGCAACCGCTTGTTTAATGAGATATTAGAACACCTTAAGAGAAAGCAGTGCATCACAAGACATCTAGTGGAAGTTCAGGTAACCAGGCATCCATGCCCAGTTAAGTTTCTGCTTCTTCTTTAATCACCACGTTAAAAAAAATATTTCAAGTTCAATTAACACATCAGATAGATTACTTAGAATCTATAAATACAGCTAGGTTTTAATGACCGTTACGATGATGCTATTTAGTTTGCAGACACTGGTAAAACTTTCAGAGACCTTTATATGAATTACATCCCACTGCTGTGTAGCAGCTGCCTGGGGAATTTCTCCACGCGGGGCGGTTGCTGCCTTTAATCTCTCCCTCCCTTTACGTGGAAAATCACGCGGAAGCTCTGCCAAGACCCCGGCATCCCCTCCACCAGCCTAGTCCTTTTCTTTCTCTTTCTTTCTTTCTTACGGGGAACACTCTTTCTATCCTCCAAAGTCAAAGAAGAAATGCGCGCTGCTCTACTGCCAATTTCAACAGCCTTTATAAATTACCCTCTCTCCAAAAAGGGCCCTTTCCCGGAGAAACGTGATGATTGGAGATAACTCGTTTTAGAAAAAAACTGCGTGCACTCAGTCGGAAGACGTATCGCATCCCAGCAAAACCAGGGGCGAAGTGAAGTTTTTTGCCCCGCATCAGAAAGCTCAGATAAGCAAAGAGAGAAAGAGAGAGAGAGAGAGACAGAGAGAGACAGAGAGGGGGGGAGGGAAAGAGAGAGGGAGGGAAGGAGAGGAAGGGAGAGACAGAGAAAGAGAGGGAGGGAGGGAAAGAGAAAGGGAGGGAAGGAGAGGAAGGGAGAGAGAGAGAAAGAGAGAGAGGGAGGGAAAGAGAGAGAGAGAAACAGAGAGAGAGGGAGGGAAGGAGAGGAAGGGAGAGAGAGAGAGAAAGAGAGGGAGGGAAAGAGAGAGAGAGAAACAGAGAGAGAGGGAGGGAAGGAGAGGAAGGGAGGGAGAGAGAGAAAGAAAGAGAGGGAGGGAGGGAAAGAGAGAGGGGGAAGGAGAGGAAGAGAGAGAAAGAGAGAGAGGGAGAGAAAGAAAGAGGGAGGGAAGGAGAGGAAGGGAGAGAGAGAGAAAGAAAGAGAGGGAGGGAGGGAAAGAGAGAGGGGGAAGGAGAAGAAGAGAGAGAAAGAGGGAGAGAGAGTAAGAAAGAGGGAGGGAAGGAAGGAGAGGAAGGGGGAGAGAGAAAGAGAGAAAGAGAGGGAGGGAGAGAAAGAGAGAGGGAGGGAAGGGAGGAAGGGAGAGAGAGAGAGAAAGAAAGAGAGAGAGAGATCAACCGAGGAGCGTGTGCACGCGGGAGACACGCGTCGTCCACTCCTGCCCGCGGGCGCCAGAGCTTTCTTAATCGACACCTTCCCTGGCCTGACCTCGAACCGCTTCGCGGAGCGCGTTTGGTCTGCGGGGACAGGCGGGCATCTCAGGCTGCCCAATACTCCTCTGTTCAAGAGTTAGCTCCACAGCGGCGGCACAGAGGCGGCGTTTGACAAGTGGACCACGCGCACGTCCCATTCAAACAGGAGGGGGAGGGAGAGACACGGGAAGGAGGTGAGGAAAGAAAAAGGGGGGCTCGCTCTGCGCCCCTTTACCTGGGGAGGGTCTGCTGCTGTGTGCGGAGGGGGGGGGAAGGCGCCCTCTTTCGCGCCCCGCTCTTCACCCCCCACCCCAAGCGATGGAAAACAAAAAGGCACCTTGGCTGATTAAGTTGGGAAGAGGAGACCACACAGCTCCGGGTCGGCAGCCTTCGGCTCCCCTAATCCCCACTCGAACGAGATGACACGCTAACCCCGACCATCTGTTGAAACACGTCCTCGACCCTCTCCGCGCGGCGCTGTGTCAAGACGCGGCTGCCCAATCGCCGGCGCTGGGTGGCTCCGGAGGCCAGGCGGGGTGGGGTGTACGCGTGTGCGCGCGGGGAGGTGGGGGGAGAGGACAGAGGGAGAGCGCGAGAGAAACAAAAACAGGCTGGCGATCGGAGCTCGCCCTCTGTCAAGTAACCTGAGAGTCGCCGCAAGAAAAAGGCGGCTGTTAAAAAGAAAGTGGGCGGGTTTTTTGGGGGGGGGAAGGTAGAGGGGAGGGGAACCCGCCTCCCGCTGCCGGGGCGGTCGATGAGGTGGTGGTGGGGGGAGTGGAGGGCGAGCGGTCGGCTGTAACGCGGTGTGGCGTCTCCCCAATTCTTACATTCCCTGGGGATCCGCCGTGTTGGCTGCACGAGAGAAAGAGCGCGCGAAATCCTCAGCGGCCGTGGGGATGTGCGGAAAGCCCATTGAGAAAGTGACGAAGAGAGGGGGGGGAGGGTAGGTCAGGGAAAACGTCCCTCTGTGAGAGGAAATGAAAAACTTGGAGGAGAAACTTATCCTGCTGCTCTTTTGCGCCAACCTGGGGATATTAGCATTGCAAAATCCTAATCCGGCCGCTTGCCCTGCATGACCGCGGGCGATACGTCCTGATCTTCCAGGAGGAAAGGGGGGTTGGGAGAATCAAGTTGGCTCCCTGCCCCATATACAGGTGTAAATTCAACGCGATGCGTTCCCAACGTCAATCCGGCTAGGACTGATTTCTGCAGTTGCATTCCTTTTTCTTTTTTCTTTTTATTTAAAAAGTTTTAACAATCATTACAGCAATTTTCCCCCCTCCCAGCCCCCCATCCTCCCTTTCCCTCCAACACTCCTCCCCCCCCCGACACCCACCCCCACTTCCCAGAGCAAAAACAGGGTATAGCATAACAAACATAAACTAAAATAAGCTAACTTTCTGTGGTCTCCAAACTCCCCCTTGCTCTTTAACTCCCCTTTCAACTAACTAAACATATTCAAAAAAGAAATATAGATTTCATTCATAAGCTATTTGAAACTTTTTAGTCCGATATTTGTTTTGAATATAGTCAATCCATCTTCTCCATTCCAGTATATATCTTTCATTTGAATGGTCCTTCAAATACGCTGAAATTTTAGCCATCTCTGCTAAATTCACTACTTTTACTTCAAATACGCTGAAATTTTAGCCATCTCTGCTAAATTCACTACTTTTAGTGTCCATTCTTCAATAGTAGGCAAGTCTTCCTTCTTCCAGTACTGTGCCACCAAGAGTCTGGCTGCTGTTATTAAATTTAAAATCAACTTAGTCTCTGTAACAGTACAATCTGTAATTATGCCTAACAAAAAGAACTGTGGAGTAAATTTTATCTTCTTTTTGAGAATATTTTCAATAATCCACCATATTTTTATCCAAAATGCCTTAATTTTTTTACATGTCCACCATATATGATAATACATGGTATCATCACATTCGCATCTCCAACACTTAGGTTGCACACTTGGATACATACAGGCTAGCTTTTTAGGATCCAGATGCCATCTATAAAACATTTTATAAAAATTCTCTCTTAAATTTTGGGCTTGTGTGAACTTCACATTTCTAACCCATATTTTTCCCCATGTTTCCATCATTATTGGTTCTTCAATATTTTGTGCACACTTTATCATACAGTCCTTAACTAACTCCATTTCTGAATCTATTTCTACCAAAGCATTATACAACCTTTTTATATGCATTTGACTTTGATCTCTAATCTGTTTTACCAAGTTCTCCTCATTTTGCAGAAAACCAATTTTCTGATCTCTTCATCTAGCTTGCAACTGTACATATTGAAACCATGTTCGAATTGTCCCTTCTTCTCTTAGTTGATTCAAAGATTTTAATTGTAGTATACCTCTTTCCTTGTTAAGAAGCTCTTTATATGTTATCACATCCTGCCTTTGCTCTACACTTATATTCTCTATCGAGTATCTGGGTATTGCCCACTATGGTAACTTCTCGTTTAGTTTATACTTGTACTTTTTCCAGACACGCAATAGAGCATTCCTTAATATATGTCTTGTCCACTTTCTTATCATATAATAAATAAGCATGCCACCCGTAAACCAAATCATATCCCACAATATTCAATATTCTTTCTTCTGTTAAATTCATCCAATCACTCATTGCTGATAGAACAGCTGCCTCATAATATAGTCTTAAGTTAGGCATTTTGAGACCTCTTCTTTCACGTATATCCTGCATTATTTTTTGTTTTATTCTCAGTCTCTTCCCTGCCCAAACAAAGTTATTAATACCCTTCTGCCATATCTTAAAATTCTCATCTTTTTAAAGTATTGGTTCATTTGAAAAAGAAACAAAAACTTAGGCAAAACATTCATTTTTACTGCTGCTATTCTTCTTAACATGGATAATTGTAATTTTTTTCAGTTTTCCATCTCTCTCTTTATTTTTTGCCACAACGGATCATAATTATACTTAAATAATTTCACATTTGATGTCATAATATTGACCCCTAAATACTTAACTTTTTATACAATTTCAAATCCTGTTAGTCTTTCTAATTCTTCTTTTTGATTTATAGTAATATTTTTAGTTATTATCTTTATTTTCCCTGCATTTATTTTAAATCCAGATACTTGTCCATATTGATTAATTATATCCATTAGACCTACAACCGACTGTAATGGTTGGGTTAAAGTAACAATCAAGTTGTCTGCGAATGCTCGTAATCTATAGTCATACTGCCTAATCTTAATTCCACTTATTTTGTCCGACCCACGTATCTTACTTAACAAAAATTCCAAAGTCAAAATAAACAATAATGGAGACAAAGGGCATCCTTGTCTTGTTCCTTTTTCTATATTAAAAGTATCTGTTAAACTACCGTTAATTATTATTTGCGCTGTTTGTTTCTGATATATTGCCTTAATAGATTTTGTGAAATGTTCCCTGAACTGCATCTTTTCTATTATTTTCAATAAAAATTGCCAATTCAATCGATCAAATGCTTTCTCTGCATCAAGAAATATCAGCACCACAGGGATTTGGTGTTTCTTCCCCAAATACTCCAGTAGGTTAACAACTTGCCTTACATTACTCTTCATTTGTCTACCATTTATAAAACCAGTTTGATCATTATGAATCATTTGTTGCATGACTGTCATTAACCTATTTGCTAATATTTTAGCAAAAATCTTGTAATCTGTATTTAAGAGTGATATGGGCCTATAATTTTTTGGCTGGATGTGGTCTTGCTCCTCCTTTGGAATCAAAGAAATATAAGCTGTCCTCCAAGATGGGGGTATATCTCCTCCAGATTGTATATTAGTAAATAATTCTTTAAGTGGTCCCACATTTCTAACTGCAAATGTTTATAATAAGCAGCTGTCAAGCCATCCGTCCCAGGAGCTTTACCCACTTTCAACTGCTTAATTGCAAACATAATATCCTCAGTGGTTATTGGTTGATTTAAACCCTCCCTTTGCTATTTTGTAATTGTAGGAATATTCTCTTTCTGTAAATATCTATCTATATCTGTACCTTGAATTTTATCACTAGCATACAACCTCATATAAAATTCTAAAAATGCTTTTTTAATCATATTTTGCTGATAAACCTCTTTACCTTTATATTCTATTTTCTCTATAGTCCGTGACTTTTGTTTTTTCCTTAACAAATATGCTAACCACCTCCCTGGTTTATTAGCATTACAAAAAATATTATGTTTAGCATATTGCAAATTAGTTGCGACCTGATCTGCCATTAACATATTAAATTGCCCTCGCAATAAATTAATTGCCTCTTTTATTTTCTTATCTGCTGGATTCAATATCAAAGCTTGTTCTTTTTTTCTGATTTCCTCTTCTAAATCCTTCCTTTTTTTTCCTGTTTGCGTCTATATTTATTATTCAAATATATCAAAATGCCTCTCATATATGCTTTACTTGCATCCCAAACCATTTCCATAGATGTACCCTTATGCATATTTATAATAAAAAATTCTTTCATAAATTTTTTACATTCTTTTACATTTTCCTCATATCTAAACAGATTTTCATTTAACCTTCAAGACCTCTTAGATCCCCTTCCATACTCTAATTCCATCCCAACTGGACTATGATCCATTAAAACTCTTGGACAAATCTTCGTCTTCTTCTTCATTCTGGAAAAGAAATCATTTGTAATTAATATAAAATCAATCCTTGAGAAAGATTGATGTCTATCAGAAAAAAAGGTAAAGTCTTTTTCTTCGGGGTTTCTCTCTCGTCAGATATCTCTCAGTTCCATATCCTCCATCATTTCAAAAAACGATTTTGGCAAT